ACCTTCCATCAACCCCCTCCCGTTAGTAAAATTCAACCTCCTCGTATTCCCAGGAACAGGAACGATATTTGGCATATTTCTTCCTCTCTCAACACAGAATAGCTCCAGCAATTTTGAAGCTCCGTGTCCCAGGGGTTGTAGAGAGCACTCCATCTCGCATTTGGAAGATGTGAATTTCATTTCGTTTTTTTTTTCCTTCTACAGTACTCCCTCTGGGTACCCACTCCTGGGGGATTTTCGGGTTTTCGGAGGAATGAGATCGACCATAAGAAAGATGTAGATGACTCGTAGATGACGAAAAGTGCCCTTTTTTGTTTGCAATGCACCATTTTGCAATAAAAAAAAGACATTAGCTGTCGTCCAATTAGGCCTAGAGTGCTTGCTCCAGTACCGCCCCACAGATACTGTGCTGAAATTATGCCAGATTCAAGACTACTCTAACCTTCAACCCATTTGGATATCCTGTTTTTTTATGTTTGAGACATTTTTGTGCTGAGTTCATGAATTGAGCTGGGAATGAAGCGGTGACTAGCAGTGATTGATCAATGTGGAGGGATATGGAAATATTTATCCGAACATCCCTGAATGGCGCGCACCATGGATTTCATGCTTACTGGAGGCATTTCCTCCCCAGACCTATTAAAGGTGGTTCGAGGAACTTCAGTTAGGGCTAACGTTCCATGTTCACACTGAAATTTTTCGTGAAAGTATGAATAGGCCTGCGATCGACCTAACGTTAAACGTCCTCAAGCAGATGTCTGGAAGACCACGGATTCACTCTTATAGGCCTAATTGGCCCCGTAAGTCGAGGATTGGGTTTCTTTTGAAGGAAAAAGGTGGGCTTTGGCCTGACCTGAAGGTAGTCTGTTGGTTAGGCCAAACGTTCGTGAATTCTGTAGAAAAGGGTGGGAGGGGAGGGGGTGGGGAGGGTTGAAGAAAGGGAAAGTCATTAAAAATTTGTTTTTATATTACTTCATTGGTTATAGCTATACCTTTATGAATAAAATTAACTCAATGACGCCATGTTATTGTGCTGGAAAGGGTTATATAATGAATTTGTTGGCGCGAGGACCCCAAAAAGATACGCCAGCGGAAGGCCCACCAGATAACGAATCCAAATGCAGAGGATACTAACCGGTGTTTCGAGGAAATCTGTGCAAAATAATGGAGAAATTCTTTAATGACGTCAGTGGCTGTCATTTTGCCATTTTGAGCCGTTTGGAGCATAAACCATGACTGAAGATAACGCCCGATTTCGGCAAAAACCTTCCGTTATCAATCCACATTCGATGTTCTAGCAATCTGGCCGATCGCGCTAATATCAAATTGCACATTATCAATTTGGTTTTGCAACACCGAGTCACAACTAATATACGAGCGGCCTGGAAATAATGGAGTGGCCAGTTTTGAAGCTCAGTCTCCCAGGGGTTGCGGAGAATATTGAATCTCGTGGAGACGCTGAAGGAAGGGGTTGAAGGTCGAAGAAAGGACAAAAAAAAGCTTTTGAAAAATGGTTTTATTGCTACTTTAATAAAAAAGCTTACTTGAAGCCTGCTTTTAGCGAAAAAGTTTTTATTTTAAAGTCAGTGACGTCGTCGGTCTGGAGTCATTTGCCCACGCATGTGGACATCATGAAATAACGGGTTTTCTCACCTTTCGCCCTTTCCCAAATAACACAAGATATTCCAGCAACGTTTAAGAAATGTTGATGAACAATGTTGCATCTATGTGTAAATGTCCAATACTTTAACGTTGCTAAAATGTTGCGAAGGAACATTGCATTTATGTTGCAAATCGTTACTTATTCAATACATATACCTTGCAGAAATTTTTCAGGATATACGTGGTATGTTGCAGTAATGTTGATTTAAAACGTTGCTTCACGGGCTCTTAATCTGGGCTAATATTGGCATTACGGGGAAGCATAGGCTTCACTGGTCCTGAACTGGACTGATATTCGACCAATATTGAATTATTTATTTCATCATTTCGTACTATATACTTTACCTCTCCACCCAGACATTCCCATCAACAGGACGAAGCCTGTACTGGTGTAAACCCTACCCATGCATAATACAGTATCTGTATCATGTACAGGCAGGAAACAGTACGTTTTTGGAGATGATCTCCCCCTGGATATGCTAAATATGGCACATTACAGGAAAATGTCCGACCGTAATGTTCTATGGAGTGTCCATGGAATAAGTCCTTTTCCTCATCTAGTTCCCAGGATGAGGATATGAAAGATATGGGGTAAATAAAATTGTTCCTTCTCATAAAAAAAAGCTGAGGACGAAAAGATTTCTAACATGAAAGCATCCAGCCCTGTATTTTGAGTCAATCAACAGACTACGAACCGACGGTTGTTCCATCAATCCACACGTATGTAATTTTACATGGTAATTTACTGACAGGTTTAAATTCCGATCGTTGTTATACTACAGGTATAACTGTACACAAGAGAACCAAGTATGAAAGGTCCTTCTTTCATTAAAAAAAAGCAGTCTCTCTATACCATAATTAATAGTACGATCATGAGATATTTCTTCAAAATACATTCCGCCGTATATGATAAGGATTTGGGAATGCTGGCGCTATGAACGCATTTCCTGCATGTCTTTCCCCCTCTTTATGAGCGGTAGAGGGTCTACGAGGCACAAGCCCCTTGGCCTCACCCGGGGAGAGAGGCCGATAGGGTGAGAAGGCTCCAGGGGAGACACCCGTGTGTGGAAGGGGTGAAGCATGACCATGCTCGCTCCATCTCCTTTTCTCCCCGCAATGGTCCATTCTCATTCACTCATAACGGCAGCGTGAAAATCGGTTGCCAATTCTTCCTTAATGTTGCCAGCTTCCAGAAATTGCATCATAGGATTTCTATGCATGACTGACGTGCGTTAATCCTGCTCTCTGGAACATTGATCCTGCCGTTGTGTGACTATGGCCTCCCCCTCAAGAATACATGGACTCCTAGGAGTAAAAAGAGCTCTTCAAGCTCTTTTTCTTTTAATATAAAAACCAATTTTCAATGGCTTTCCCTTTCTTCAACCCTCCCCACCCCCTCCCCTCCCACCCTTTTCTACAGAATTCACAAACGTTTGGCCTAACCAACAGACTACCTTCAGGTCAGGCCAAAGCCCACCTTTTTCCCTTCAAAAGAAACCCAATCCTCGACTTACCAATTAGGCCTATAAGGGTGAATCCGTCTTTTAGAGGTCTTTTAGCTTGAAGACTAAATTTATCTCGCCTAAATGAGGCTTCGGCATTCGGAACTTAGACTTCAGAAAGCAAACAGTTTTCACAGGGGAAAAACGTTGGCATCAGCCAAGTTTTGTGAAACATGATTAATTTGGATGTGGAAGAAATGAGATATCTCAAAGTGAACTCCAAGTTGTTCTCTTTCGTCTGAGTTCTCTCAGTTTCTGGCTCTCTGTTGAGAACACCTTTTTTTAAAAGCATATTTCATTCAATTCTGGCCTGTTTTGTAAGGTCAATTACTAATCCTTGTCGCCAGATTCTGGTGTAGTTGGATTAATACTTAATATTCTATCGCCACTCCATCGTTCGCGTATTTAAGGAGTTTTATCCGAATGTCATTAATTACAATGAAGCCAGTTACCTTCAGGAAGTAACCTTTTGAAGAGGTGAGGCTGCTTCCCGATTATCGAGGAAGTACTGTTCATTTACTAGTACTGGACGAGGACTGTCCAGATTCGATGTCGCAAAATGAAGCAAATGGCAGCGGTTCATTACTGAATGTCAGTGGTTTATCAGCCAGCCGGTTCAATCGGGTGTAGTGGGCCTGACTGCACCGACTGGCTGAGTCGGCTGAGTTCTCTCCAGGAAAGGTCGCAGAGACAAATCAACTAGTTGGTCATTTTAGGACATGAACATGATGAACACCCGAATTGATGCAGTTCAACGACTCAGGGAGTGATCACTTTTTTCAGCAGGTGTCTCAGGACTTAAGACTATTTCCTGCATGGGACTAACTTAATCCCAGACCGTCAGACTAGATCATCAGATTAGGTTATGACAGACTTGACGATAATTGCAGATCATCAGACTGGATCATCGGATTAGATCAGGGATGTCAAACATGCGGCCCACGGAGATGGTTCATCCAGCCCACAGTCTGTTCTTGAAAATTCTGCCTGGATGGACTCTCAGCACCTTCCGCGCACGAGCTTAACAAGCATTTAAGCAAAAATTATGGGTGCGGCCCGCAGGCGTAAAGATTGCGGCCCGCCGACCGATTTGAGTTTGACACCTCTGGATTTGATCATAAGACCAGATCAGACCATGAGACCATGTCATAAGACCGGACTACAAAACCGGATTTTAATTCAGTTCGTTAGACAAGATCAACAGAAAACACGTATGCTTAAGCCTCCAAACAAATAGGCTTAATCAATATTCCGACTTTCGGTCCCTCGACCGATCTTCGAAATCCAACTTAAGACCTTCCCAGACTATTTGCACTACGACGACCGCCTGCTAATACCAGTGCTTATCTCAAAATAGCTCGACTCAGCCATTCCAAATCTACTAGAGCGAATCCTCTTCTAACCACATCTTCGTTCCACCTATCCACCACCTCCTTCCACCTATCCACCACCTCCTTCCACCTATCCACCACCTATCCTCCACCTATCCTCCACCTTCTTCCACCTGCTGTCGTTCGGTCGATGCATCGATCCGGACGATTCCTAATACCTTGGCATTTGCCTTGTAGATGCCAATCCGACTCGTCACATTTGAATATCTCAAGTATTCCCAGTATAACTTTGGCTTCATATCCACAACGAGCAAGATGAAGATCGAGATGAATCGGATCTCAGCTTCCGACATCATTTTCCATCGATTCTGTACGCAACTGTTGCCTGGTGTTGCCGGTATCCTCTGACTTTAAAACCCACTATTTAATTATAAATAAATACAATTTTATTAAATGACATTATAAGGCTCGCGTGAGGGGTCGAAATAAACGGTACGGACTTTGAGTGGAAAGATTTTTATTTCTTTCTTGGCAATAAAATTTGAAAGAGGGCAAACACGATTGTACAAAAGACATGAGATCACATTGTGTTCACTGGGATTCACAATTGCCTTGGTTTTCCGATTTCTTTCTCTAAGGGGGACGAGGGAAACGGAGGGAATCGAGATGCGAAACTCGGTACGAATTCGGGGTAGAAGGGGGTCATCCAACCACGTGCAAATTTAATTGGCACCACGAAGGGGAGAGATTGTGCGAGACGAAGGGGGAAATTACGAATATACAAGTCTGAGATCCGAGGGGAAAATCTCATCACGAGCAAAATGGAAAATTGGACACGAGATTCGACTCTCTGCATTTATTGCAGTTTGGTGTGCAAAAAAAAAAGAGACTCTGTTGAGCAAGTCCAGGAATGCCTGTATATTTTGACAGAGGAAAGAGACGGCCTGGAAAAACGGCGGGGAAAATTGGCAAGAACCCGATCGGGACAGGATTCCTGGAAGACTCGAGAAATACTCAACGCTTACCCGCGGCAACAAGAACGATAAAGATCTGGATTTCTTCTGCAATAATGAGAACGAACATATCACAAGGTGATACCTGGGTAGGACCGATTGTAGAATCTGCAAACCCCCGCAAACGCCCGCAAACGCCCGCAAACGCCTGCAAGCGCCGTTCACCCGGAGCTTTCCTCCGGCGCGATGCAGCTCCCCGCCGAGACCGACATCCGATTGGTCCTCGGCTCGTACTGGAGGGACAGATGATACAGATCGTCCTCCGGCAGGAGGAGGGATTGGTCGAGGAGGAAGTTGATCACTTTCGTCACCGGCTCCACGCGGTACGGAGTCTGCTGGTAGTGCTGGATCTCCTGGATCACGTGTGCTATCTGCGAGGAGAAGGGGATCCGGTACCGAGTACTTCGCTTTTGGAGTACTTTATTTCCTTAGAGCGAATGTCAAGAGCACGAAACGTGTCGTCGCATCCCTGATCTTGACAGCGCGGAGAAATCGAGGGAAGAAATGCGGCCCGACCTCGGCGACGGAATAAACGCTGATTGCACGCATTCATCCGCTTTCGTGCCCAGAAGTCATTATAACGAACGCAACTCCGCTCGTCGCCGTAATTGAGCGTCTTCGCAGACGACCCATTTTTTAAAAGCGTGTCTGTGACACGCTCTAATGGCTGATCGCGGCGACACGCCCTGATCGATGCACAACGCCTCGAATGTCGCGACAGATCCTGGATTCCTTTTGTACCTCAACGGAATCGCGAAAATTCCGCATCACGACTAAATTTTTCCCTTTACAAATCATTAATTAATTAATTAATCGTTCCCTCCAGCCTCACCATTCTCATCTTGGCGAAGTTGAGGAGATTGTCGTCCGTGAAGGTCGGCGTGCCCTCCTCGATGAAGGACAGGTCCGTGAGGTAGAGCCCCAGGTACGGAATGCACGGCGGGTCGCAGTGGTGCAGCGCGTCACGCAGGTTCCGGAACCGGCAATCGGCCGACACCAGCTTCTGCAACTTCTCCACCGTTTGGCGAGTCTGCAAAAAAAAAGAGGCAAATTTTAAAACTAATTTTACTGGAATTTCGACTTTCTAAAAGTAAGTAAATAATTATTTTATTTATTTTTATTTAAAATTTTGCTTATTTATTCGTTTTAATTAATTATACATATTCGTTTCATTTTGAACTTAAAATATTATTTTTTATAATTTTTTTTTTTACATTATAATTTTAATACCGTCTTAGAGATCTTGTCCCATGTTTTCTTGAGTCGATAGACCGAGGAATTCATGAACGCCGAGCAAATCTGCAAGATCCCGTTGAAATTGTGCAAACACCGGCAGATATCTGCCACGGCGGCCCACTTCTCCAAGACGGCGACCCGCGACGGCAGCGCCGACTGGCGCAGGATCTCCGAGGCCACCAGCCGAGACACCTGCAAGGGATGCCAGATCTTGCGATTATCCTGCCACGGTTGCCAGATGACATTTACCAAAGCTGATTAAAAACAGCATTGCGATTTGGTATATAATAAATGTTTCATACGCTCATAATATACTACTAAACCTCGTTTCATAAACATATAAAATTCCATTGAATTAAATAAAATTAAAAAATATATATATAAATAAGAGAAAAATAAAACTTTACTGCTTAATTAATAAAATATAAGGTAGAGACCTCGTTAAAGCGACGGGTGATCATGACGACATGCGGCGCCTTCATCGCCTTCTCCGCCTTCATCCACGCCTGGCTCAGCAACTCCCTACAGTCATCAATCAAGGTTCAATCAGGGTCCAATCAAGGTCGAATCCCTCAATCTCCCTCGATGCCACTCACTCGCTCCGGATGGCTACGAAGATCTTGTGGTCGAGATAGGTCATCTGCTCCGCGATCTCGAGCGCCGACAGCGTCTCCATCGTCTCCCTCGCCGGGGTCTTAATTAATTATGCAATTAATTTATTAGTCCTCGAGACGCGACGATGATGTTCCAAAATTCATCCGTAAATGTCGAGTTTCTCGGTGCAAGTGCGAATAAGTGCGAATAACGAGAGGAACGAACC